GGGTTTCCTTGTGTCAACTGGAAGGACTGAGAAAAAAACAGTGTGCCCAGATGGTGTTAGATGGTAGGTCCCTGGCGGTACTCATTGTCAGGGCTGGAAAGTACTCATTCCTTCTTAGAGTTTTGGTATGCTTATTCATGTCAGGATGAATGGAAGGAAAAGAAAGACACTGGATGGATTCCAGAATCTAAGGACTTCCACTCACAGGGGCTCTGACTGAGAATAATAGACCTACAGCAGTTTTCTGACAGTTGTTTCGTTTCCTGAAAGTTGTATCTGGGTGCTTAACCTGGGCAGGTTAGACAATTATAGTAATAGTTCTAAAGCACTCTGAGAAAATCCTGAAAAAAAAATTAAAACTTGAAAAAAAAAAAAAAGATGTGACTTAAGAAGTGTTGGAAGTTAAAAAAATATCATGCAAATGTGAGTAAAGAATTATTCATGCAAAGCCCATGATATTGCCTCTTTCCCTAATGAGTAAGACAATGATCCAAATGCACTAAAGAGACTCTTGAGTTAGGAGCCACGAAAGTGGAAAGGCTGCCACCAATGATTCATGGTGGAAGCAATAAACTTCCTCACCTCAGACGGCCACCAATTACTGCCACCAGCCCCTCTTCCTCCTTGTCAAGTTCCCAGCGGGTGTGGTTGAAACCAAAACCAGCTTTTGCATTAACCTCTGTTCATGTCTGCTCAGCCACTTCGTAGACTGTAAACATTACGTAAGACAGATATCTAGCTTACAAAGTACAATATTTCACTAGAAAATGTGCTTTTCTGTTCTTCCTCAGAGTACCTTAGTGCAAAATAAGATAAAATAATCACTCAAAAATAGCAAACCGGTTAATTACTAAAACCTTATATGAAAGATTCAAATAATTGTCAACATAAAAGAGGAATGCTTCTCTCCCTACCAAACAGATATGTATGTAGAATGTTCTAGAGAAAAGTTGAATAACAGCCCTATTCGTACAAAGTGTGCACATGTGCGTGCGTGCGTGTGTGTGTTGCACTTTTTCCCCTTTAGGTGGTTCAACTATTTGGAATTTATGAAGGCAGAGCTGAGAATGAGAGACAACCAAAATCTGCAAAGTAGATGATTCCACAAACAAGACTATGAGAGAGGAGATAAAAGAAGAGGTCGAGAATAGCCCAAGAACAGTATATAGAGATAATTTAATTACATTATGTGTATTTTAAAGAAAACAGGTTCAAACTGCATGAGAGACATGAACTAGCACTCAGTTATCCTCCTAGACTTCTGAAAGTTTTCAGTTTGCCTGCATCTTCTTCCATTAATCACCTTTGCCATCTTCAGGAACAATGAAGTCTGTTTGTTTATTTGCTCAATACATGACCTGTAGGACAATTGAGGGCTAAGTATGTCCAAGCCTTTTCGTTAAGGAAGAATGAGTGGCAGCACCATACAGGTATCCCAAAGGCCTTTTGGTAGGCTGCTGCTGCAATGAGATTTTGATGGATGGAAGCTATGGGGAAGCTTAAAGGAAGCTAGGGCAGTTGGTGAACAATCCGTCAAGACCTTTCCTTTCCTAAGAAAAAATGCAGCAGGTCTGATACCCATCTCCCTGGATATCTTGGACTGGATAAGTTGGCTGTGCATGCACCCTCCCCGTGCAACTCTTCTAACTGAATTACCTTCCTGCAGAGAGGGAGCAGGTATGACCTTCAAGACGGGAAACATTCACTCAGGCTCAGAGGTGAGACCTCACATAAATGGACAACATTTTTTAGTCAATTATTGACTGAAGGGTAGACTTCAGTTAGGTTCAGAAATTTTATGTAGAGTCAAAATGGCTCATCAGGACTAAGAAGGGTTTTAGGAAGAGTTGGACTACAACCAAACCACCTTCAGGAACATCTGGAAGAACAATGGCATGCAATAGGTCATAAACACATGGCAGTGGAAGAACTGAGAAAAGGGAAGGAGAGGGGCCAAAGTGGAGACACTTAGGTCCAATTCATGGGAGGCGAGACTTTCGGAATCCCCCAACCTGACCCGAAACAAGAATGTAGAGAATTCAGCCTCCCCAAATGTATGGCAGAGACAGAGACCATCTATTTTTACTGTCCCTAAAAGTCAATCCACCTCTTTCTACAGAAATTTATATGCATTGATAGATATCTACTTTGAGGAGGAGAAACAAAACAGCTTATGGAAGGTGGATTTTAAAAAAAATATTTAAAAAAACAAATATTTCCCAGAAATTTACCTGTTTCTTTCAGTCTCTAGTGGATGCTTTACCAAAAATAATTGTGCAGGACCTTGTGCTGCATTCTAGGACACTTTACGCATGCCCCTGTTGCAATAATACATGCCTTGCCTGCTAGACTTTGAGCTCCCCAAGGACAAGAACAAGGTGTAATTTATACATGTTCATCCAATGCCTAGCACAGCACTCACTGGCATTCCATAAATACTTCATAAATGAAGAAAGAAAAACAATCTCTTTATTTTGTTCTATCCTGTTCTTGCTACCCATTGGTGGGGATGGGTCTGACAGAAGGTAGAAGTCAAGTTAATACCATCTCTGTTATTACTAAGGAGAAGAAAAAAGTTATTTTAAAATATCACCCCTAGGATCCTTAAAATCTTCTGTGTACAGCTGAGGGTAAATAGAAGAGGCAAAGCTATTTTTAAAAATACGTCTATAGAAATGACAAATGTCTATTTCTCCAGACAAATTTTTCATAAAGATGGCAACTGAGGCTATACATGCAATAAATGATGCAGTAGGTTAAATATATTTTAGAGTTAGCAAATATACTGTTGCTTACATAAATAGATTTGTTTGGTGGAAAAAAAATCAATGAAACAGCCCCATTAAAATATGAAATTTCACAAGTACTTTTGGTTTTACTGTAAAGTGATCCATATTCCATAAAATCTTTTGTAAACAGCAGTTATTGAAGGCTGAGGATTTAAGTGGAAGAGACCATGGTGGCCCAGTTGGTCAGAGCATGTAGTTGGGAAACCTGAATGTGACACGAAAAAGAAAAAAAAAAAGTCGTTAAAGAGAGATTAAGATGCTTTCAAAGTCTCCTTCGAGATGATAACTGCTGAAGGATTGAAACACTCACACAATTGAACAATTACATAAAACTACATAGATCTTGGTACCACTGAGGAAAGACAGTCGGAGTTAGCACGATTTCTAACTGTAAATTACATTCTACTTTGGAGGGTACGGCTCACTTGCATTTCATATATATCTAGCAAAAGTTAGTGTTCTCTGGGGTTAAGAAACAATTCAACCCTGTAAAAATAATTCTGCTTTAGCCCTGAGACTACTTATAGGAGTGGCGTGCAGGGGGCACTGTCCTGGCATCTACATTTAGGTCCTGTGGCATGCAGTGTGTATGGAGTCTACACACGTGAGGAAGATGCCAGTTGATTCTGTAGTGCAGTTGTTGTCAGGATAGAGCTTCACAGATTCTTCATCCTACAGGACCATCTAAAAGCATATATACTTAGATGAGAAAATCAAATACTCCGAGTTAGCCTTTGCTAGTCTCCATTTCTTCTGTTAGCACTATGTCAGCAAAATACAGTCCTCACTGCTCGAAGATTGAATAATGAAGAGTTCCAGCTTTATTACTCACACCTTCTTTTGCCTTTCTATTTCATTATTGGAGCTGCTTCAGGCTAAACCCACTACACTTCGTGGTGACTTTTATTTCAGGGGACAAAGGAATATATAGCCAAGCAAAAGGCTGATTTATACAGGCTTTTTATGGAAATCAAAAATTCAAAAGTGAAAATTGAAGAAAGGGAGGAAAGGGCAGGGGAAAACACTGTTTAAAGATCCTTCATCTTACTAAAGAATCATTCATCTTATTAAAACTAAAAGGAGAGAAATGGTATCATGGTTAAAATCACTTTAAAATAAATGATATCATGTAGCCAAAAGATACCATGTAGATGATAAAGTGATTAAGCTCAAATCCATAGAAAATTTCAAGGAGAGAATCTGCATTTAAAACAACATCTTAAAATAGAGGAATATGATTGCAAACTAAATCCTTAACTCATAAGCTCTGAAACTGAAAGAAAAGCTGTGCTTGAAATGGAATGAAGCAACTAAGTTCCTCACTATGAGAGGCGAGAGACAGTGTACCCTAAGCAAAAGATGGAATGTCTGCTAACTGTCAAGGCTGGCAAACAGAGCTGTGGTCATCGATTTCCACACTGAATCTGCCTCGTAAAGAGAATCAACAAGTATTTTCCACACCTAAGAATCATTACATGAGCATTTCCAGCATCTTGGAGCATTTATGTTGTTTTCTCCTTACCTTTTTCTCCAAGATGGCGCAGGACAAAGAACGATGCATATTGCCACAGAAAAATCATTAAGATCTTCACCACCACCCCATGGATGAGCTCAAGGTGCCTTCTTGAAGGAATGAATGACTGTTTTCAATGCTTTGTTAACAAAAGGGGCAAAAACCCTGAAATTTATCACCACCTCTTTTGGGAGTTTAAGCCTATAAAGAGATGTTTGGAAGAGTCTTTATGTATATAGGATATAGCAGACTTGAAAATGTGATAAGCTACAGAACCTAAGGGCTCCTCTGAAATCAAGCAAAGCTAGTTAGCTAGAGGTGACCATGTCACTTATGTTAATGCATCCTAAACCTCTTGGAGAATAGCTTGATGTTCAAAAATGTGAAACTTGCAAATTTGAATTAACTGTCTTCACCGGGTCTTTAGTGAGTGAATGGAAGGGAAGAATTCTGTTTGGTATTTCTCTTCTTTCATGCAGTTTTTTTTTTTTCATTTTTTCCTGATTTAATTTTTGTTTTAAAGCTGAGTTAAGATGGTTTAGGCTCTTTCATTGAACCAGGTACTATTTTAAACTTTTATTTCAATTTCTTTATGCTGCAGCAACATATATGTGTGTGTTTGTGTGTATATATCTATATATATATGTGTGTGTGTATACATATGTGTATATATATACTCACATATATATACATGTATGTATATATATATATACTCACATATATATACATATATACACATGTGTGTGTACATATATGTCAGTAGAATAATCCCAGGAATACCTAGCTAGCATTCTTACAAAATTGGAGGAGGCATTTTTGAAGATACAGAACATCTACTTCCTAGACGCTTTCTTGTTACCTCCTAGTTTCAAGCTACTATTTCCATGCCTCCCCTAGCTTTATGCTATGGTGTGCTATTCCAACGTGTTGGCCCCAGGAGAGAGTGGTAAGAAAGGACCAAAGTAATTTTGCTCACTACTATCAGTGATCATATATTTGAAAATACTCAGGGTCTAAGGGTCATAGTGAAAAAGGGTGATGAGTTAAGGCAAGTGATTGCCTATGGTAAAGAAAGTAAACCACCACAAAACAAACCTCTCTTACCCCTTTTATAATGCCTCCAAAGCAAACCAGGCCTCTAGGTTCTTCTCTCCCTGCCCTGGGTTCCCTGGTAAGAATAGACTTGAGATGGGGAGGATGTCAGGAATGACCGTCATGTGCCTAAGCCAAAGAGCTCAGGTTCAAAGCAAGCCCGAACCACCAAGTGGCTGCCAAACTGAACAGTGCATTTTAGAAACTGGAAGTACAGAACTGAACATGCAGGAGTGCACACATGTGTCTCTTCCTTGTCTTGAATAGTGAAGTCAGTCTCTTGAGTGGTCGTTTTCACCCGATAGGTTCATCAGAGAGGAAGGCAGTGGCCACGGCTGCCTGGTCTCTTGGACTGGATCAAGGGAATTGATGCTGTGGTGGATGCAAATATGCTCCAGAAAAGAAATGGCAAGCAGAAAATAAAGAGAATGACCAAATCAAAAGACAGGAGAGAAGAAGGGGAGGAGATAATTGAACAAGAAAAAATAGTAGTGGGAACCCTGCAGTTTCTCAGATGAAATATTCCCGTTTACACTCGCTCACTGTGTTTTGCAAGTCAATATCATTTCTGAAGGAACTGTCCAAATTTTCTGGATATTCCTTCTCCTTCATCTGGTTTGTACGATGTGACTGCTTGTGCTGGTAGAGGAACCGGGTCATGATACCGATGATACAGAAGATGATGAATATCACCACTGCTATCACCCCTGGAGAGAAAGGGGAAGGAAAGAGAGAAGGAAATCATCACAAATCATCTGCTCAGGAGAGTGGATTCCTGCCAGATGAGGGGAATGCTAAAGAGAGAAAACAAATCTCTAAAGAGAGAAAACAAAACAAAACAAATTACACAAACGCAACTCTGCCACCTGCCCAGAAATAAAGACCTGCTGAAAGGCCCTGCCTTCAATTATTATAAAACCTTCTTTCGAACTAGCTGGGGAGAGAGACGCTTTCTCTTCTATGGAGAGAGACCATAGAAGGTTTTGTTTAAAGAACTGAGAATGCCATCTTCTACATATGGAATTGGACTAGCAAAGGGTTTCTTTGTAAGTTTTTCAAGTCTGCTATAAATGTGTCAGAATCATTTGTAATTAGCCCATTTTTTTGGTCACCTCACAACTAAGTATTTCAGAGTTACTTTAGCATCCTAGAAAATGGTACTTAAATATCTCACATCTCAACACATGCCCTCCTGATGTAAATTTGTTTTATGTTATATGTTTGTTTTCCTCAAACATTTTCATTAATAACGAAATGATCACTATAAATTTAGAACATTTTTGCATGCTCTGCACTCTGTGAAACTGAGGCTCATTCAGTGACAAGACGCCTCTGTTCTTGAGAAACTCAGAGTCCATTGAGATGGCAAACTTCAGCCCAGGCCCATCAGATTCCCCCTTATTCTGACTGTGTGTGATTCAACTGAATTATGTTGCAAGGTATCCTTGCTTACCCTAAGGTCTCACCCCTACCTTTGCCAGGATGGCTCTTGGAACATGAAAGGGAATATCAGCCAAGGGATAGTGAAAATGTGGAAGTGGCAGATGTGTCTCTACATGAATGTAGTATTTCAGCATGAAAATATTTAACAATATGTATGATAAGCAAAGACTTGACTTGTAATAAGTTCTATATTTTGCTGTTTTATTTTTCTAAGGAGAGGAGATATTGAGGAAAAGTGTCTATTTTAGAAAGTTATTTTTGGACACAGTGCATCATGATTTACAGAAGCATGGACATTTGAAAGTGTCATATGTGGATTGCACGTCTTCCGCCAACTTTTTGTAGAACTGGGGCCATGATTAAGATTTATTTTTATAAATATATGTTCCTAAACCATTTTGTGGCATTTTCTACAACTATGTTAGAACAAGTAAGAGTAAAATCACTTAAGTTAGCAAGTCTATGAATAAACTGGGTGGTAGTGAGTGACTCTCCTGAGTGGGTTGCAGCCTTAAGAAATGAAACAGGAAACTGGTTCCTACTCCTTCAATGCTTGGGATAGTCCAAGTCAGCAGCTGTGCAAGCCTCCAGGAATTTTCCTAGGGGGTCAGATGACTTTCCTGTCCTTAAAGAGACTCACAGAGCATGTAAATAGCTGGAGAGGAGTCAGCAGTCACAAAAGTCTTTTTCTGCACTTGTCAAATGGGAAATTACTGAGAGAGAAATAGGCACAAAATTCTTTCCCACATTTCTCGATGCCAAACAAAAATTAAGGTGGACCAGCTTCTCTGAAGCAGAAATTCAGGTCAGAGGTTTTAGGAACTTCCTTAAGGAAAGGCGTGGTTTTCCTTTCTTCATGTTATCAGGAGTGCACCTCTGTGCTCCCATAGCCATTTGTACCTCCTCCCTCAGAACAGCCTTCACTGGTTGTCTTGTTTTCTGTTTACCCATCTCCTCCCTGGCTCATTCATCCTCTACTTAGCACAGAGCCTGACCCGTAGCAGGGCTCATTAAATATAAGCTAAATGGAACGATACTGCAGGTTTTTAAAAGGAGAATTCCATCTGCCAAGGATCAGTTCATCTAGGCTTCCAGAAGGCAGGGATGGTGGCACCTGCTAAGGTTATGTTTCTCAGATAGAAACGAGTTTGGTCTTTCACAGGCATCTTACATTAAGCGAAGCTTGGAAATCATTCTGTGTTGCAAGACCCAGATGGAAAAATCAAGCCACAGCAGGCAGAAGCCAAGCTGAAGCAGAATAAAAAAGTGGGGAGGCCAACAGGCAGTGAGAAAATGGAAAAGCAGGAAAGCTGAGCTCGCAGCAGAGGAGACAAGGTCTGCATCTGTAACCATATGTGCAGTGAGATTTGAAACTACAGTCCTGTGGGCTTTACCCTGCTCATCAGACCTAACCCAAATCACTTGGTGAGGAACACTCCACAGGACTGCGGCTTCACCCATTGTCTGCTTCTTCCCTGTATTTAGCTTTGTTGGTCTGCTTTGTTTTCATTTTAGGAACAGTGACAACTGTATGAAATGAACAGAATGTGAGCTGCTGTCTCTAAGTAAATGCTCCAGCTGTTGACTCGGTGCTCAGCTGCCTCGTGAATCAGAGGCAGGATGAAGCCGCAGAGCTGCTGGTGTCGGCAGAGCCTGCCTTTGATCATTCAGCACACATGACTACTCATGAAAAGCTCAGTCTTGCAGATAATGTGGGGGGCTGTGAGCGCTGGATGGCCATAATTAAGGAAGGCTTCAGATAACTTTCTCCAAAATACAGGATCGTTTATGTCTTTCTGCATTCAACAACAATGAATTGTTTACCTCCGATGACTGCCGAATCACTTCGAACAGCATTCGTGAGTGGTTCCCGCTCATCTGTCTTCCCAAAAGGATCTGAAAGGAGTAAAAGACATGGGACTTTACTTCTCACTCAAAGCACTGGCAGGAAGTCTACAGTATGGCCCACCTGGAACGACACACCTGTGCATTACACCAGGTGCCCTCAAATAGTTGTGAGCTGACATGTTGCAAGGAACTCAAAAAACATGCACAAGCAAAAAGCATTTGAAGTGCACTGCTCACACCCCATGGTTCAATGACCCTTTTTGTTTATACGCTAGTTGTAAGACAAGGGGTTGAAACAGAGGATGGTGGTATCCTGCCCACATGCCCTCACCCTGCCCCTAAGGTACCCTGTTGCCTAGCTGGACAGTTCCTATGCATGCCACCCTGCTCTGCTTGAGAGTTTTCTTCAGGTGCAAGAAGATCCTGAGTTTATTGACAGTGAAGAACAAAAGTGCTGGAGAATTAACACCTTCAGGAACAGCCCTCACTGATGAGGGAGGAATTGTACTACAGGTGCAGTACCATATATGATATAAGAAAAAGCATCAGGTTTAAGGATACACAGACCTTAATCTGAATCTTTGCTCTGTTGTTTGTTGGTCTGGTGACATAGAGCAAGACCTCTTTTTAAACATGAATTTGCACATGTATTAAAGGAGAGTGGTAATGCCTATATGTGTGTATATAATGCATGTTAAATTTTCAGGAACTTGTGGCTACTACACACTCATAAGTAGTCACTATTATGATTATTGTTGTATCATTTATTATTTATAATAATATACATTACAATATTGTTTATTATTGTTGTATCATTTATCATTGGAAAATGACTACAACATGAGTATTACTGTTCCCCTTTGGCTAATAAGGAAACTAGATTGAAACAATCAAATAAGACGTCCAAAGTCCTACAGATCATTCATGAAAGAGGCAAAATTCACACTAAACGTATACAACTACTGCACTCAGAGTCTTTCTGTTACTCCTCTCTGCTGCTGGAAAAACACCAAGACTGAAGATGTGCAGGCAGCAACAGAATTCAAGCCCCCATGTGACATCATTAGTCCTGTCATGTGTCATTTAAACTTTCTTATCTGTCCAATGGTAAAAATAATAGTCTTTAATTGCCTTCAAAGGTTTTGTAAGAATTATACAAGTTAATATATATGTTTTTAGAACAGTGCCTGATACATTGTAAGTGCTCACTAAATCTTGTTTCTTATCATAATGTTGCTTACTATTAATTACATACACATTTACATGTGTATAAACATGTATATCTTAGTCTTACGAGTGGGACATCAAGCTTCCTAATGAAAAAACCAAGACATGCACTTCTTCATACCACAGCACTTGCCACACGACCATGTAGAGACACACATGAAAGATGTTTGGTAAGAATTTACTGTGTCTTTGAGTGAACAGAGTGTGGTGGTTTATACCGTCTGTGGTGTACAGGGGTGGCCTTTTCCTAGGACTCTCGAAATTGGAGCAGAAACAAATCAACATGAGAGAGAGAGGCTGATGGGGTCAAATGGGAAGGGTATTGTAATTAAAGAAGGTGCTGGCCATAGTCTGAACTGGTGACATTGATAAGGTGGGTCTGGTGGAAAAAACTTGGGGTTGGAACTTGACATTATTATTAATCATCTGTGTACACCTGAATGGCCTACTTACATGCATACATACATGGAGAAGAACATAGACACACACACACACACACACACACATATATATGTATATATGTCGCCAATTATTAACAATGGGGTGACGATGATGATAGTGGGTGTTAGAGACAGAGAGAGAGAGCAGGCAGGCAAAGAGAAAGTGGAAAATGTGAAATCAGAGGAGGCAATGAAACGGGGAGAGAGAGGGGAAGAGGTATGGTAAAAGACAGGTAGAAGACAGGAGGGAAAGAAAGAAGAAAGAATGGGAGGGAGGGAGAAAGGGAGAGAGGAAATTCAAAATATTTAGTTATTAGATCTCCTGTATCACACTGTCCACTGTGCTTGTTATTCTTGTATATCCCTGGGCTAGTCCGCCTACCTAAAATGCCTCCTGCTTCTTTATAAATACAGTCATGTGTAGCTTAATGGTGGGAATATATTCTGAAAAACGTGTCATTAGGCAGTTTTGTCATCGTGTGGAAATCATAGAGTGCGCTCACACAAACCTAGATGATACAGCCTATGACACACACAGACTGTATGTGTAGCATAGACTATTGCCCCAGGTTACAAACCTGTATAGCATGTTGCTGTACTGAATATTGTAAGCAACTATAACACATTTGTAAGTACATGTGTACCTAAGCATATGTAAACATAGAAAGGGCAGAGTAAAAATATGAGATTTAAATACATGCTACACCTGCATAGGACACTTATGATGAATGGAGCCTGCAGGACTGGAAGTTGCTCTGGGTGAGTCAGTGAGTGAGTGGTGAAGGTCTAGGACATTACTCTACACTAATAAAGGCTTTATAAGCACTACACACTTAGGCTACACTACGTTTATTAACTTTTTTCTTTCTTCAATAATAAAGTATCTTTAGCTTACTATAACTTTTTTGCTTTGTAAACTTTATTTTTTTAACTTTTGACTTCTTTGTCATAACACTTAAAACACAAATAGCATACAACTATACAAAAATCTTTTCTTTCTTTATATCCTTTTGCTATAAGACTTCTTCTGTTTTTAAATTTATTTATTATTTTTTTTACTTTTTAAATTTTTTTTTCCTGAAAACGAAGACACAAACATACACAGTAGATTAAGCTTACATGAATTCACGACATTAATATCACTGTCTTTCACCTCCTCATATTGTCCCACTGGAAGGTCTTCAGGGCCAACCACATGCAGGAGGTACCATCTTCTACCATAACAATGCCTTCTTCTGAGTGTTTTCCTAAAGAAAATGCTTGGGGCTTTTATTGAGGAGTAAGTTTATACCAGAGTCACCAAAATACGTGTGGATAAAGTGTTGTACTAGGACCTTATGGTTGCTACAACTTCATTAGGTCATAGAAATTATTCAGCTCCATTATAATCTTAGAGGACTACCGTCTATGCAGACCATTATCTTCACATGGTACATGACTGTATTCAAATCTGGATCATCCATTATGGTTTATTTTTCTGCCTTGCCTTGCCTTGCCTTGCCCTGCCCTGCCCTGCCCTGCCCTGCCTTGCCATTCCCCTTGCCATTCCCCTTGCCTTTCCCCTTGCCTTTCCCCTCCTCTCCTTCTTTCCTCTCCTTCTTTCTTTCTTTCTTTTCTTTCTTTCTTTCTTCTTTCTTTCTTTTCTTCTTTTTTGACTGAATCTTGCTCTGTCACTTAGGCGGGAGTGCAGTGGCGCGATCTCAGCTCACTGCAACCTCTGTCTCCCCGGTTCAAGCGACTCTCCTGCCTCAGCCTCCTAAGTAGCTGGGATTACAGGCATACACCACCATGCGCAGCTAATTTTTCTGTTTTTAGTAGAGACGGGGTTTCACCATGCTGGTCAGGCTGGTCAGGAACTCCTGACCTTGTGATCTGCCCACCTTGGCCTCCCAAAGTGCCGGGATTATAGGCATGAGCCACCGTGCCCAGCCTCATGGCCTTTTTTCCCTTACTCCAACTTACAATGGTTTCTCCCTTATTGAGTCCATGTACTACTTTTAAGATCATTAACCAAAGTAATAACCTTGGTTACTACTTAACATTGATTTTACAACAGATTTCCCCATTTCTAGCAAATTTTGCTAATGATACATTAATATATGTTAACCCAGTTTGTTAATTGTAACTCTCTAATATTTATTAAAGCTACAAATAAAATACTTCATATCTAGTATGATGACAGCTTCAGTAACACGACTACAAAATTTAAAAATACCATGCCTACATCCATGTTTAATGGACACTTTCTACAAAGTAACCCTTGAGGTAGTTATTCATTTATTTCAATAGTACTTCTCTCTTCACAGTGTGTCTAAATTGTCTTTTACAATTTTAATTCTTTTAGTTTTAATTCCCTTCTCAAAAAAAAAAAATGACGCAGCTTAAATGTATCTATTTATATCATATATATAGATCAAGATCTATATATTATATATAGTCTATATCTATATATCTATTCTTATAGAATAGAATTTATTGTGTACTATAATTATATAGATAGACATTGAGCAACTATCTATATCTATCTCTGTGGAATATCTATATATATATATATAGAGAGAGAGCGCCAACATTCGGTAAGAACTCCTCATTATTGAAATATGTTGGACTTCTACACTTGGCACCTAATGATTTACCTGTGAGCGGTTTTCACTGATTACTAAATATGCTACACTCTACCAGAAATTTGCACTTTAACTTACATATTTCCTTTTGTAATGGTCTTCTGTCTTCTGAACATTGCAAACCCTTCTCCCTAAGCAATTGGCATGATCATATTATTTATAAATCTATCATTAGTTCATCTAAAAATATATTTGCTGCTTTTTCTAGGTTCCATACAACCCAAAAACTCTGTTCATATCTTTCCCTTAGCATTGCTCACACTGTATTAAGATATTGTGCCCAGCATCTAATGCTACACCCTAATTCCCTGAACAATCGCCTTCCATCATCTTTACAGATTTCTAAAAGTAGGGACTTTAAATGTTTCTTAGTTTTTGTTATCTCCACTAACTATGGAAGTTAACACTGAGTAGCTGCTTGAAAGATGTCTGATGAATGAGGCAACAGGAGAGTCACAACAATCTCACCAAAGACAACTCAAAATCGCATTTGAAGAATAAAATGGTGAAACCTAAAGCAGTAAAGGAGTGGGCAATACATTGCTGGAAGAGTAGATAGAAATATTTAAATATCCTATTCAGATTACCAACTTGGTTAAAAAATTTATTTCTCAATTTTTACAAAATATTGGACTGGGCACTACGGATCTCAGGCTAAAGGTCTTGGCTAAGAGTCCTGCCATATAAGAGAGTGCATGTTTCTCAATATATTTCCCAAGATACGAAAATCCCCCTGACTTGTTTACTGCAATAAGATGTCCCACCTTTTATCTTCCAACTAACACATCATGACCTATCATAGACCATTGCCGGGGGAATTGTGCCTGTAATAGAAAATTACCATGGCCCAGAACCCTTCGACGCCTACCATTATTGTTCTTAGTGTATGCTTGGAGGCAAGGGGAGGGTAAAACAATACCATGGTAATCTGGGAGCTGTATCAAATATCTCAGACCTAGCCTCTTCATCACCACTACTTGCAAAACCCATACTGTATATCAATATTGGCAGCGAATTCTGAACAAAATGTATATCCTGTGGATTTAGAAAAAGCATCCTGGAAAAACCTGACAATACCTCCTCACTCCCATACCAACCACTTTATTTTTATTTATTTATTTATTTTTGAGACGGAGTCTCGCTCTGTCGCCCAGGCTGAGTGCAGTGGCGCAATCTTGGCTCACTGCAAGCTCCGCCTCCCGGGACAAACCACTTTAAAGCATAATCAGAATGACAACCTTATTACTGTTTCTATCTATCAATATTGACATGTTGATACATGTGGATGTCTTGGTTTTATCCCAGTGTATTAGTCATTTTGTTTTATCAGTATTTATGATGCTTTGACATCTTGAGGACCTTGCTGGCCAGGGAGACACTGCCCCTCCCAGTGCTAGCTAATTCCTAGAGATAGCAAACAACATGCCTGCAAGCATGCATTTTATACACAAACCAATCAATCCAGAGCCCATCTTCCCCCACTAACTCATTTATTTAACTCACATTCACCAACCCAGTATTTCTCTTGCCTTAAATAACTCAAGGCCAAGTATTAAATAACTAGAGACCACCCTTGTAGCACAGATACTGCCCAAATTATTCAAACTATCCAATTCTAACTGGCTCAAGCTTGCCTACCTGGTTCACCCCATTCCTTCCCGTGGAAGCTGCAACACAGCCACCCCACCACACTTTCCCCTTTCTCTTTCTGCCTCCTGACCAACCCTAGCGCTCCTCCATGTGGCTCTGCATGGTATAATGTATCTCCTTTCTTGCGAACTGTAAGAAACAAACTTTGCTTTCAAAGGCTGTCATCTCATGCCTGTCACCTTATCATACCTGATTAAAACAAAATCCCGGATACATTTTCAGACACCCAAAATGACAGTGACTAAGAAAAGATAAAAAAGACACTTAGAGAGTGGTGAAGCCTAGATGCACGGATGATGGTGCTGTGGGTTTTTTCTACTTTTAAAAAAGGCTGATTTAATTTATTTTGGTTACATATTCAGAAATGGGATTCGAGTTTTAATATTTTGAGGAACCTCTCTACTCTTTTCTATAATGGTTGTACCAAGTTGCATTCCCACCAGTAGTGTACAAGGGTTCCGTTTTCTGCACTTCCTCTCCGACATATGTTGTTCTTGTCTTTTTGATACTAGCCATCACATTATCAGCTGTGAAGTGACATCTCATTGTGGTTTTGATTTGCATTTCCCTGATGATCAGTGATGTTAAGCACCTTTTCAGGTACCTGTTAGACGTTTGTATGTCTTTTGTGGAAACAAACAAACAAACAAAAAAAACAAAAAACAAAAAACAAAAAAACGCCTGTTCACATCCTTTGCCTGTTTTTTAAGTGTTTTTCTGTTATCTTTTTTCTTGCTATTGAGTTATATTAATTCTTCTTATGCTTTGGATACTAACCTTTCATCAGTCATATAGTTTAAAAACATTTTTTGCTAATTCTGTAGATTGCCTTTTCATTTTGTGTATTGCGTCCTTTGCTGTACAGAAGTTCTTTAGTTTTATGCAGTCCCACTTTTTTATTTTTGCTCTTGTTGATCCTACTTTTGGTGCCATGTAAAAAATACATATATATTTTCAAGATCAATGTTAAGGAGATTTTTCCTTATGTTCCTTTCCTGGAGTTTACAGTCTCAGGTCTTATATTTAAGGTTTTAATCTATTTCAAGTTAATTTTTTTTTTTTTTTTTTTTGAGACGGAGTCTCGCTCTGTCGCCCAGGCTGGAGTGCAGTGGCCGGATCTCAGCTCACTGCAAGCTCCGCCTCCCGGGTCCACGCCATTCTCCTGCCTCAGCCTCCCGAGTAGCTGGGACTACAGGCGCCCGCCACCTCACCCGGCTAGTTTTTTTTTTGTATTTTTTAGTAGAGACGGGGTTTCACCATGTGAGCCAGGATGGTCTCGATCTCCTGACCTCATGATCCACCCGTCTCGGCCTCCCAAAGTGCTGGGATTACAGGCTTGAGCCACCGCGCCCGGCCTCAAGTTAATTTTTATATGGTGCAAGATAAAGGTCCAATTCTATTCTTTTGCATGTGGATATTCAATTTTCCCAGCACAATTTATTGAGTAAGAAACATTTTCCATATTATGTATTTTTGGAAATCTTGCCAAAGATTAGTTGATTAAATAAGCCTGGGTTTATTTCTGGCTTTTTTATTCCATTCTATTGGTCTATGTGTTTGTTTTATGCCAGTATTATGCTTCTTTGATTACTATAGCTTTGCAATATAGTTTGAAATCAGAGAGTGTGATGACTGCAGCTTTCTGCACTAGTGTTTACTGCAGTATTATTCACAATAGCCAAGATATGGAAACAACCTGTCTGTTAACGCTTAAATGATTAAAGATATTGTGGCATATACACACGCAATTGGAAATTATTCAGCATTAAAAAAGATCCTGCCATTTGTGACGATACAGAATAACCTAGAGGACGTTATGCCAATTTGAAATAAACAAGACACAGAAAGACAAATACTATGCGATATAGCTTATATGTGGAATCTACAAAAGTCAAACTCATAGAAACAGAACGGTGGTTGGCAGGGGCTGGCGCGTGGAGGAAATGGAGAGTTGTTGGTTAAAGAGTACAAGCTTTCAGTCAGAAGATGATAAATTTGGGGGATTTTTTTTTTTCTTTTTTGAAACAGAGTCTCGCTCTATCCCCCAGGCTGGAGTGCAGTTGCACGATCTTGGGGCACTGCAACCTCCGCCTCCTGGGTTCAAGCGATTCTCATTCCTCAGCCTCCCAAGTAGCTGGAATTACAGGTGCCCGCCACCATGGCCAGCTAATTTTTGTATTTTTAGTAAAGATAGGGTTTCGCCACGTTGGCCAGACTGGTCTCGAACGCCTGACCTCAGGTGATCCACCTGCCTTAGCCTCCCAAAGTGCTGCAATTACAGGCATGAGCCACCACACTAGGCCCAAATTTTGGTGAACTAATGTACAGCATGATGACCGCAGTTATTCATACTGTGTTGTTTCCTTGACGTTTGCTAAAATAGTAAACCTTAAGTGTCCTCATCAGATGTGCATACACATACACACACACACACACAAAGGGTAACTATGTGCAGTGATAAGTGTGATTAATTTAATTGTGATAGTAATTACACAATGCACATGTTTATCAGATTATTACATTTTACACTTTGAAAATATATAATTTGTATTTGTCAATTATTTCTTAGTAAAGCTAAAAAAGGTTTATTTTAATCACATGAATTATCATATTAGTTGGAGAACCAGCTTGCTGTCTCCCATTCTCTAAATACCTCAATTCTCAGAGCAGTATCCACTTCAACAGTAGTGACTATGTATACAAACGCACACACACACAAAATGCATTATATACATGCATAATAAGCAAAGTACACAACTATGCATTTAGTTCTAATTACTCATCATATTAAAAATAAAACTACATCAATTATATATAAAAATCCCCCATGAAATATCAGTCATAACTTTTAACCACCTGTAATTACATGAGGTAAAAATTGAGTCGCATTAGCCAACCCTTTCATCTGGAAGCTTCTTGAAGACACCAAAAGTAGTGCCAGTGACAGAAGCTCTCTTGTGCATGCTCTTGAGTATACCTGATGAAGAATGCACCGTGGTCACTGCATCCACATCTGAGTCCACCATGAAGTCGCAGCTAGATTCCGTCAAGGTCCCATGGACAGTCACAGGCGCGACGGTAGCATGGCGCAGGGCAGCTTTCAGTGGTGCTATGTGGTTGTACTGGACGGAAGACATGCAGCCAGCAAAACCCAAGGCGTTTGCTTTAGCAACTTCAGAATCCAAACTAAGATTCTCTGCAATGTAAAAGACAATCAGAAGTCCTTTACTTCTTTTTTTTCCTCAAATTATGCTGGGTCCTCTTTGAGTAATATCTAAAATTACAGAAATTCCCTCGTTATTCTTTGAGTAAAGAAAACCCTCCCCTATCTCTCTTTATCTCCTTTCCCCAGCTCCACTCCCAACGCAAGCATCAATATGTCAGCCACATTTCATAGAAAACTGTCAGGGCCATCTCTGCTTTGAGATAAAGAATATTCCAAACTTCTAAATTTTCATTCATGTATTTTATGAACTGTAACAAAGACAATAAATCTGTTCTGTACTTTAGGTGTTTTATAACATTTATATCACTATCCCCATCATCATTTATCTTTGGATGCTGGTGATTAGTGCAAGCACCCTACGATGTTCATTACAACACTTCACTCAAAAATGTAGCAAGAGAAAAAAGAATAAAGAGGTAGAGACATCAGAAGTCAACATTGTCCTTCCAAAGATTTATCGTGTAAATTATTTTAAGCCACCTGTGTAGACTGACCTTCTATTCAAGATTTTCACCTGCTTGGTTCTGTCCGTGGAACTGACTGGTGTGCATGGGTTTTTTATGACAGCATTCAACTTCGTAAAGTATCTTTGAGACTTTATAAAAGATGAACGTGCAGTAATTTGGAATTCACAGCAAGATCAAATGTCTCATTGTCTTCAAGATTTGTGGTAAGATTACTCAGTATTCTATTTCTTTTTGTTAAAAGAGTAATTTGAACAAACTTCTATGATGCAATTATATAAAACTGCAATGCATAATGAGCCATTTTTTTCCTAAGGTGTAACAGTCGTAACATACCGAGATGGTTCAAATGGTTATTTATTAAGATAATTTGTTTGTTTTCTGAAAGGTGGTAGGGACTCTCTCATCTACCAGTGTAGATTATAATTTTATTTTGATTCATAAATGGTCAAAGAGACTCCATCGATTTGTAAGCATGCATTATGTTGGCAGCATTAAGAGACATGATAAGAATATGGAAGAAAATGAGAAATTAACCTCCCTTAATAATGCCTTTTCTAAGTTTTGCTCTAATTTTACTCTCCTCCATCAACACCCATGTAAACTTAGCCAAGTCATCATCTCTGTCTTTTTTACATAAAGAATGAAATCGTGCATTAATGTTATGTGGCTGCTGTGACAAATTGCCACAAACTTAAATGACTTTAAACAGCTTAAAACACAAGTGTGTGATCTTGCAGTTCTGTGCGTTTGAAGTCTGCCGTAGATCTCATTGGGTTGAAAATCAAGTATCAGCAAGGCTGCGTTAATTCTAGAGGCTCTGGAGGAATATTACATTTCCTCGCCTTTTCCGGCTTCTAGAAACCACCCACATCCCAGGGCTTCTCTAGACTCCTTCTCTATTTCCAGGCAAGCAATGTTACATTTCTCTGTGTCTTTCTAAAATACGCACTTCAACCTCTAATTCTCTTCTATCTCCTTCTTTCACTTTTAAGAACCCTTTTGATTACACTGGGTTCATCCTGATAATACAGGATTGTCTTCCTATTTCAAATACAGCCGATAAGCAACATTAATTACTTTTGCAACTTTACTTCCTCTTTGACACATCGCCTAATGTACTCTTGGGTTCTGAGGATTAGAACACAGACATCTTTGTGCACTATATTTTTTTTTTTTTTTTTGAGACGGAGTCTCGCTGTGTCTCCTAGACTGGAGTGCAATGGTGCGATCTTGGCTCACTGCAAGCTCCACCTCCCGGGTTCACGCCATTCTCCTGCCTCAGCCTCCCGAGTAGCTGGGACTACAGGTGCCTGCCACCACATCCAGCTAATTTTTTGTATTTTTAGTGGAGACAGGGTTTCACCATGTTAGCCAGGATGGTCTCGATCTCCTGACCTCATGATCCACCCACCTCGGCCTCCCAAAGGGCTGGGATTACAGGCGTGAGCCACCGCGTTGGGCCTGAGCACTATAATTCTATCTACAACTTCAGGTCTGAGATTTTGTGAGAACTTTCCCAAATATGATAATGAAAATCCAATAATAAAGTGAACTGTCACTTCTTCAAATATAAAAGAACTCTGAGATGTATGAGAAAACTTCTGTCTTCCAAATATTCAAATATCTCATACAGCGCTGATATTATTTGTTACTTATTCATGAAAGGATCACATATGTTTGTTTGTTATCATGAGCATTAAAAGACTGTGTCCCACATAAAGCATGTCACAAAAAAGCTTTAATGGGCTAGATGGTTTTTACTGGTGGCATCAGAACTCAGTGTATCCAGATACAATTCAGAATATACATTAGCTACAGATTGGTAGTTAGCAAGAGGTAGAGTTAAAGATCAGAAATATTTAGAGGAAGAGGCAGAAGACAAGGGAAGAGGAGCATAAAGTGTCATGAGGTTTTTGCATGGTAGGATTTCAGAACATGGAAAGTGACAAGTCATTGTAGTTCCGCCTGAAGGATCTAAGTCAACATCGCCAGCTCTCATTCCCAGGACTCGGTGGGAAAGAAGTCTACATAGTGTCAAGGATCTTGGAGGACATCACTATAGTGACTGTCATGACACACTCCAGATGTAAGAATAGGCACAAAGATAAGTTGGGGGAAATGCCAGCAAATGACATTCTCTCCTTGAATGAAGAGATGTTTTAAATAAAGCCCTATCTCTAGGGAAATGTGCTTCTTCCAGATGTATTATAAGGACAGAAACCTTGAGGTGTTTCTGAAAAGAAATGCAAAGAACAAGAATCCCTGATAGAAGAAAATATTCTCCACATGAAGCTCAAGATCATGATTTCTCAGATTCTTACACAGACGGAGAGGAAAAAAACAAAAATAAGACAAAAGTTACAAAGGTTCTAAATGATTTTAGTTTCTTATAATAGTGTTAGGTAATATGTAGTATGCTATAATAATTTGCTGAAAACAATAATTTTAAAGCTGCAAAATACTCAACATTCACCACTCACTGAGTAGCTACATGCAACTGCAATAATTGTTGTCGAAGAATTATTTCTATTCCCCTCAAAAGTTATTGTAGATATGTGTTCTCAATCTTCAAAATTTACAGATGAAGTAACTGCGACTCGAAGAAGTTCAAAGATGTACTGAAGATCACGTAGCAGGGTTGAGATTTAAACCCAAGTCTTTATGATTTTAAATGCCAAACTGTATCTAAGCAATGCAGCCTCAAAACAAACAAACAAACAAACAAACAAACAAAAAAAACACCCCTCCAAAATATCTCTTGTATAGAGTAAAATAATTTTACATAAATTATCTTTAAAAATGGGTTGCAAAATCCAAAGAAAGCACAAGTTATTTTGGTTAAATGCCTCACAGAATTCACTGAACTCTATATTATATTAAAGACAAATGTATTTCCTAATTCATTTTTCTGTTTTTAGGTTAAAATTACATTAGATTCATGTGGAGTTAGATGAGGGGGCTGTTTTATGTGCTGTGCTAGAGAATGGATGTTGAAGACAAACTTAATAGCGAATACGGCTCCTCAAAGGCTGACAAAATGGGAATGCAAGCAAAGGCGACACCACTGAAAAATGCCAGCGTTCCCTGTTTCGCTTTTCCCAAGATTTTCTACTAACATAAAAAATCTTATCCGAAAAAAGAATGACAATGGTCAAAAGTCTTGTCACTGCCTTAAGAAACCAAAGGTATCTTGGAAAGAAAAAACAACAGCATATCCAAATGTCTTATTTGAAATTGACTTAGTTTCTCTTACTCAATACATTTTAAATATTATCAAAATATGGTTCTTGATTCTCTTTTGACTTAGCCCCGTGCCCCCCAAGGGTGATGCCAAAACAGCATGAGTTGCTGATAGGTACAGACTGGAAATTAGGCCGACCTAAGTTGATGAATCATGAACTTGCACATATGATATCTGTTTCTACATTTCTTCAATTTTATCCACTATGAAACAGGGATAATAGTACCTACCACATGAACTATGTCAGAAACAAATACAATAATATAAGTTGAATTTATAAGTCAATGACCATTAATGCATCTTTGCTGTTGTATGTATTTATTTGGTTTTTGTATATATTTATATTGTACAACATGATGTTTTGATACATGCATACATTGTAGAATGGCTAAGTCAAGCTGTTTAAGGTAACATGGGGGTTTACCTTACATACCTTTTTTGTGTGTTGTGAAAAAACTTGAAACCTACTCTCAGCAATTTTCAAATATATAATATATTGTTATTAACTGCAGTCGCCATGATGTACAATAGGTCCCCTGAACTTATTCTCCAGAACTTATTTTCCAGTTTAACTAAATATTCATCCTTTGACTAACATCTCACCATAATAAAAGCATACTGTTAGGAGGAGGAGGCGGGGGGAGTGGTAGTTGGCACTAATAGTAAAATCTTTTACTACTCCTACTATTCATCAGTTCCAAACTCTGTTGCCGGGCTTCAGTGCCCCTCAACATGCCCAAGTATTGTTGCATTTAGAACTATGGTGTAGACACTAATATGCTTGCTGTGGAAATCTACTACATTTCCACTTACTACTGATTCACGATTGAACAAATGTAGCACTCAAATTTTGAATGACTTAGTTAATTCATTTTAAACTAACTTTTTTGGCATTTAAAATTTGCCTTTCTACATTATTTTGCAAACACCTTTATTTCTTGTAAGTAAAGCTATGCTCCTCTGTTAAATCTAGTAGACCTGTGATGCCCGAGAAAGTAGCACAGAGCCAATTGCAGCCTCAGAATGCACAATACTTTACACATTCGCAGTTGTTTGACAGGAAGAGAGTGATAGAATGAATCCAGGCTAGTTTTGTGCAGGCAGGTTTGTGTGTGTGTGTGTGTGTGTGTGTGTGTGTGTTTTATATATGAAAGAAAGACAAAAAGATCAGCAATTTGCTAAAAACAGACATTGCTCTAGATTGTAACAAGACATTTTCCTTTTTTTTTTTTGAGACGGAGTCTCGCTCTGTCGCCCAGGCT